TTGTGCAAGTATGACCACCTAAGGATATTGGGTTTCGTAAATTACTGGCTTTGTTATTTTGTGGGTCACTGGCTGAAAAGTTTGGGAATCCCTGCTCTAACTTACTTTCCTTTGGCTTATTCCCTGATTAATTGGAGTTGTCACAGCCTAATGTTGTTAATGTGGCCAATTCAGTTTATCCAGTTTATCTATACAATGTCTTTAGACTGTGGTGGAAATCGGAGCACTCAGGGGAAATCCGTACAGACACAAAGAGCACATGCAAAGTACAGTACACAGCAGAAAGGCCTTCTGCTGGTAGTTGAACCAGCAGCCTTCTTGCTGTAGGGCGACAGTGGACAGTCACAATGCCGCCCACAGTATTACATCAAATAAAATACAGCCTTAGTGAGCATAAGATGATTCCTTTGAGAATGTAAAAACAATTTACCATCCCCAAACTTTTAAATTATAAGATATATTAAAAATTGTAAAACGTTTTTGTTTGCTAGGCTCATCTTACAACTTCTCTATATTTGGTTGCGTTATTCAGTAGAGTTTTGCCATATTTTGAATCCATTCAGCCAGTCTCCTGGTCACTTTTAGCTTAGCTTAGCATAGATCATTGAATCAGATTAGACCATTAGCACCTCATGTAAAAATGACAAAAATAGTTTTGATAATTACTCTACCAGACACAACAATATTATTAGCTATCAATATTAACTTTCATCAGTATAACCAACATGACCACCTAGTGTCACAGCACATGGAGCATTTGTGAGAGGCAATTTAGACAATATTAAAAACTATTTTCAAGTTGGGAACAAATGAAGAGCTTTTCTGAGCTAATATTTATGAATTGATTCATGATCAATAAAATATGCTGAAACAACATAGATTTATTTTTAATTGTGTCATCAGGTGAATTTAAACGTTTTGTCCCATTTACAGGCTTAGTTATGATACAAGAGTTTATAAGAACCAGCACTTCAAGAGGACACTTGTAAAAGCTTGTCATATTCTATTCTTTTTCCTCTTTTTCTCAGTGGAATCTTGGCGACACCTGTGATGTTATGTAAAAGTTTCAGTTTCATAATTCTCCTTTTTCCCCCTGTCACCAGCCACTGCTTACAGTAACACTATAGAGACTAATATGTCTCTTCTGCTCTCTGTCTTTCTCCTTTTCTCTGTCTCTCTTTTCCATCACCCATCAGAAAGAATAGCTGCAAGTTCTGCTCTTCTGGCTCCTCACTCTCTGTTTATGGTTTCCACACTCAGTCAATACTGTCAGTCCTGCTCAATCCATTATGTGGAACCACTTTTTTTTTTTAGTTCTTTCAGACGGCCACAGCTAGAGATCTTGAAAGACAATTCTGCCATCATTTACTCAGCCTCTTGTCATTTATATGTTTTTTTGGATAAAAACTCAAGTCAGATTTGACTTTTTTATTTCATTTAATATAACTAAATTCAGAAAGTAGCTTCAGAAATACCCCATAAAATCATTGTAATAGTAATAATAATGTATGTTATTGTAATATACACAGTTGAGGAGAAAAATATTAGCCCTTGTGTGAATTTTAACACATTTTTTTCTAATATTACCCAAGTGCTGTTTAAGGGCTAGCCCTTTTTTTCTGCACAGAGAGATGGTTTGCATTGTATTTTTAAGCTGTAATGTAAATGTAAACCCAGCCAGGAATTAATATCAGTCTCTTTATAAACTGATAACATTTAATAAAAATGTATTGCTATACACTCCAGAAGAATGACAGAAAGAGATGAATGATAAGAAATTATGCTTAAACATTTATTATACTCACTATTCATCAATCTACATGTGTTTGTTGCCTCATTACAAACATATGTGACAAATTTTACATTAAAGACAATAAGTTAACGAAAGATAGAATTAAACATACCTCTTTAAGGTGGAGCTGAATAAAATTATAATCTGTATATCCTACATTTTGTCTACTGACACGCATGTAAACATGTAAAGTCTCAGACCCATTGCTTAAAATTCCATAGTAAACAATATGATGCAGCTGGCTTTGGCTTTAATTCAAGGGGAGTTTGCTTGTGCCTCCCTCGTCTCACGTACATTATAAGTGTAATATAAACTTAAATAAACTTAAAAATAAGGGAGAAAATATACAACTGCTCTAATCTCTCAAGGAAACATTGTGGCTAGTCAAATGCAGCCAGGGGTGTGCATATTAATGATCCCATGTGCAACATATCAGTCTGTGTTTTGGCTGCTAAACTTCTAATGACCTGGAGTACATGCAATTGTTGAGGGCATCTTAAACAATAGTGCCATGTACAACACAATAGTTTGTATTGTGTTCTGATAGGCCTGTTTTTCACAATGGTTTTACATTTTAAGCATTTACGTTAAAGTGAGGAAGCAATGGTGTACGACTTAAATGAGGCTTATGGTATGGCCATTTCCATGCATTGAACTATTATTATTGGACTATGGTGAGATGTAGCCAGATTTCCTTTATAATGCACATTTAACGTAATCATTAAACTTATAATCTGTTTAGTTAGTTGCCATCATGACAATAAAAAATAAAATAAAATAAAATAAAAAAGACTCATCACATTTTATTGCCACTGACATTTTTACTGTCAGTCCTAGCGATAAATACCACATTTCATTTAATCTGATATGCAAATAGGTGTGAGGCAGTATACAAATATTGTATTTCTTTTAGTCAAATGGCATTGGGAATACATATTTATCTTACATACGCATTATCCCAGTGCAAAGTAAAATTAAATATTAAATATTAAAATTTAATTAAAAAATGCACATTTAAATAGCAATTTATGCTATTTTCATTAAAGGTCCAGTAGGTGATTGTCTTCAGAAACATTTTGTGTTGTGCTGGTTGAAAGTATCTTCACAGTCCAATAGTAAGGATTACAGTAAATGATCTAAATGTATTTATATGTATTTTTATATTCTGGGTAAAGCATAAAACTAAAAAATGTTCATCCAATTAAATAGAGTCGGACCGACATCTCCCATAATTCAGATAAGCAGCTCAGACTGTCTGTCTGCAAATATATATTCAGACTTCTGCGCATCTGTTCACGCAGATCCGCCATTAACGCATGCCCGTCTGCATAAGCGGCCGAGCGGTCACAAGACAGACCGGGTGAAAACAAATGCTGATACCTGTTAGACAGGTAATGTTCTGTTTTAAAACTAATTTAGTCAGGCTAGGCTGATGTTAGATTGTGTTCTGTTATGAATGACTTATATGCACAGACGTGTTGTTCAGCCACTGAATTCTCCCAGTGAAAGATTGATGTGATTATTTTCAGTTTCATATGGTCCTTTTACAGCATCGATAATGTAGATTTATATTAAGTTTAACAACAAAACATCAGTAATTAGCACCATTCCGCCTAACCTGCTTTATTGAGCTGAAGTTGCTTTTATATTCACATTGGGTCAGTTTTGATCAATGACAGCCTTCCTATACTGTTTACCATGCTACTCTGAATATTCACTCTGAAATAGCATGTAAGTGTGGCCAAGTAATGAATTTAATTCCTGCACGGCTCTAACTAACTGGCGAATTACATGAATTAGTGGGTTGTCTGTCGGCTGTTGTGACGCGGTGTGCGTGCTCGCGATTTCAAGGGGTGTGGCTTTGAATCACAGTCCCTCCCCGCCGTCCAAAGATAATATGCTAAGCGGTTAGCATTTTTGCAGATCACCTACTGCACCTTTAACATAGCCAACATTTTTACAAAAAATAAAGTGGCAAAAGATTAGTTTCTGATAAAACTAAATATCAAGTCTGTGATTAGTCTGGTATTTTATTTATTTATTTATTATATTTTATATAAAGCTGTAACACATTTGTCCTCTCTTTTGTGTGAATCAGAGCTAATGGCTTGTTCTGTCAATCACTGCAGTGTCTTTCACTCTATATTTTACAGAAGTTTGTCTCACCATCATCATCATTTTAGTCTTTACTGTCGACACTTGAGCTGTCACTGTCAGTGATCTGTGCCATCATGGGACTTCAGCTGGTATCCTAGTAACAAACTCATTAGCATCTCTCACCTTCCCTGTCCCCATGTTTAATGGCTCTTTTGAGTGCAAGCTGGATGCAGATGATACACACAAGACCATTGCTAGAGAGTAGAAGGATGTTTGATGGCATGTTGGTCGAGGCGTAACAGGACAGGTCTGGTAGTCTAATGGAGGAGTAATGGATTACACAGCATGAGCTGGACAATCATTCTAGCAGACATCAGAGGACACACATCCCATAGTCACAGATGGGTGGATACATCATTAGTCTACTGCAGTCAGTCTAAAGACTAAATAACACATTTAGATATATCAGATAAGTTTACATTTAGCTGGTCATGTAAACGAGCAAAATTTACATTTACAAAGTCATTTAGCAGACGATTTTGTCCAGGGTGACTTACAATAGAGGAGCTATTCAGCGATTCAACAAGAAGAGGTATTGCATAAGTGCTGGTTATTCAAAGTAACTTCTTTGTGTGCAGAGAATTTAGTGCTAGATTATTATTATTATTTATTTATTTATTTATTTTTGACTGAGAGAGAAGGAGAAAGAGAGAATGTGCTTGGTATTATTGACCGGGGTTCAACTGTTCTCTACCAGTGTATCCGCAGTCCGAGTGGGCAAATAATGTAAGACTTTAATTAGATAACTCTGTATTGCATTCGGGAATTCCCATTATTCCTATTTTAGTAATTATTATAATTAGTTTACTACTAAATAAATAAGTAGTCATTTTATTACCTTTTTGACTGTTTGTCATCATGCTATTTTGGATAACTTAATAAAGAGGACTCGGAACGCAATAAAATGTATATAAAAATATAGGAGTGATTTTTAAACTGGATTGGGTATTGGGTAAAGGTTGAGTTTGAATTTGAATGAATCACTGACTGGATCAAAAAATAAAATGCTTTATTAAGGGTCTGTATTCTTTTTTTCTTCTTTCTGTTTAAGATATCCACCCTTTTTTGATGATAATCCCTTTGGCATCTACCAGAAGATTCTGGCCGGAAAGCTGGAGTTTCCTCGGCATCTGGATTTATATGTAAAGTGAGTTTGATAAGGAAAACACAACCAACTGGCACATGTCATATTTATAGCATGCATAAAAATGTCTAGTGAAATTATATCAGCATCAGCATGAAATAATGTTTGATTTTAAACTTGTGGGGTGAATAGTGAAAAGTGTTATTGCTAACCAAAACTAGAAAAACAAAGCTGAAATCATCATTAATAAAACTTAAATTGAAAGGATGCCATCACAATAAAAAACTATATATATATATATATATATATATATATATATATATATATATATATATATATATATATATATATATATATATATATATATATATATATAAAGGAGAATTACCACAATAAAGCTGTGTATTTAAGGGGAAAAATACTGTAGTGCTCACACGATGATGAAATTTGGCTGAAAACTAATTGTCAAAGATAATCTAATATGTGGTTAAATATGAATATTGTCACAATCACCAACAATCTAGAATTTGCACATCAAACACATACCACTTCCAGTTCTCTCCCCGATTGCACACACACAGCTGGAAACGAATCATAGACTGATTACATGGACTATATATTCACCCCTCTCTCTCTCTCTCTCTATCTCTCTCTCTCTCTCTCTCTCTCTCTCTCTCTCTCACACACACACACACACACATGGCTGAGTCTTCTGTAACAGTTATTCAGGTGACAATGAAGTGAGGTTCCACGTGCAGCTTTATTTAGAAACCTCAGACAGGCAATGGTCAATCATAGAAGCAAACGGGTATGTACATGGAAATCCAGAAGCGTAGTTGAGGTTGCAGGCAATAAGATTGATACAGGCAGCAAACAATGAAAAGCTAGTTTGTGTAATAATTGGAGTTCCAGAAACAGGTGTATGTGAGGTGCTTGACAGGATTTGTAGTTCTCAATGTTACAGAATTGTAGTCTGGGTGAGGGTGCATGTTTACCAGCAATCTGCAAGCTGGTGATCATGACAAATATATTCTGTATATATTTGAACATATATGTGCATATTTGTATTTCTAATTACAGAAAATCAATATTTAAACTGTCTTTTTTTTCTTTGCAATACTTTGAAAAAATTTAGAAATATGTAGATTTGAATGTATGTACATATTAGGGTCGGGCGATGTTGATTTTAATCTGCCATCGTACAATGTCTATTGTGAAACATTGCTATAAACGATGGCATCGTCGTCGTATGCGGCAGTGAATCAATTATTTATGAATATCTAATTAATTCATTACAAATTAATTATTCATTACAAATTAATGTAGCCTACCGTTTCATCTGCCTGACCCGCATGGTCTTTGTTTAATCTATATTCAAATCATAAATAAATAAAGATAAGTCACACAAAATTACCACCTGTCATTTACTTTTTTTTCGTGGGACTCTGGCATGAATAGGCAGAGTGATCTGCTTCATTATAATGGCTTTGACAAACTTGGTTGATAAAAAAGGTGCACAGCCTACAGAAACCAACCAACAGTATCTGAGGCTTTTGCTAAAATTATTAAGTAAAAGCGAAAGATTGAAGCTTTGTATTGACACTGTGACACGTTATCTGATAGATAAAAAAAAAAAAAAAACTGAAGACTGGTTTGATAGAGACAAGATTAATTAAATATCACCTCTAAAAACAATAGTAAGACGCAATCCAGCGGTACATCCTTAATAAACTGTCTGACTTGCACTGCTCTATGGGGTTTTGGGCTCAAAGCATCCGCTGACTGCTGGAGCTCAGACGCGCGCATACGCTGCAGCATGACAGTGTGTGTGTGTGTGGTCACGTGATTGCATTTTCAGTGATATAGTGTGAAAGGAGGTCTTTTCAGAAATGCTTGGTAAAAACGCAAGTGTGGACGTGGATTGTTTTTGTTCTAAAATGTCATTTTTTATCTAATACGTATTAGTGTATACAGGGTCGTGTGTTTTTTTCTAAACTGTTTGCTGCTGCGACGGGGCAGGGTGGAGGATAGCGATGCCGGCTCACCATCGTGATGTCTATTAGCCATTGGTGATAAACGATGGCATTTTATCAACCCAACCCTAGTATTCTGTAGTATCCATTATGTAAATGTTAGAAACTATCACATTAAACTGGACTAAGACAAAAGGCAAACAGTACATGTTTATTACAGATTTACTTCGGACAAACTCGGTGAGTTGGCATTGCTGGTTTTTGAAGTTTTTAAACTAGATGTTGTTTAAATCTAATTTACATAATTTTTTGCTTAAATTTACATTTGGAATGTACTTGTATTTTGGTTTTTGTCTGCCCATTGTGGCTATTAAAGGAATTGCAGCAATATCGGTCATCTGCAACATCTGTGATTAAATAACCGCTATTACAAGGTTATTTCATAATTGCAACAGGCCTAGAAAAAAATGCAAAGGCAACATTTAAATGAACTCACTACTTTTATAAGATAATTCAAAACAATAATATGCATTTTATGAATTATTAAAACAGTATAAAAAATACAGTAGTAAAAACAAAAATCCTTTCTACATTCATTACTTCCTACCCTTCCTATAAGATATGTAAAGTAGAATCATCAGCAATTTGAGCATCTAAGTCTAAATCCACTAAATGGTACTGTTCACCTTATTACACCAAACTTTGTAACACACACACACACACACACACACACACACACACACACACACACACCAGGTCCACAAGTCCATCCAGGGCTCTTAACATGAAAAAGATTGAAGATTTCTGTCCTGTTTTAGACAGTTTAAAGTTCAAAGAGAGATGCTTATGCATTCACCTGTGCACACACTTACAAACTAACCTGTCCTTTAATGAACCTGTTTACACACGTCAGCTAACCATACTAATGGCTGTAGGAGTGCAGGCGTCATCCAGATTACAGGCAAACGTGTGTCTTTTTTACGCTACACTATCATTTCAGCTACTTTTGAACTACACGTGTTCAGGATTTAGCAAATTACCAACTGTCCCGTCGTAGTCTTCAAAAACAATCCTTTTAATTGGAAGAGTGGACTAAGAAGTAATTGCAGCTGTACAAACACACACACAAAATGACATCACTTCTGCTTTTTCCTTATATGGCTTTTGTCCACTAGAGCATTTTTTTAAACGCTCCGCTAAACCAGCTTGAGGAAGCTCTCGGAAATAGAGACAGACAGTCATCCTCAGGCAAAGCAGATCCGGGTTTCCTTTCCACTGGCATGTTTACTCTAGTTACAATTTTGAAAGTATCCAAAACGAAGACTCATGTCAGTAGAGATTTAACAAGCCTGATAAGATAATGGTATCCTGAAGTCAAACACACATGAATGAATAACATCTGCAACAGAGGCTAAGGTCATCCGTTGAAAGCCTGCTTCAGGCTTCTCTCACGATAGAAACATCAACACCACAGCAGTCAACAGCATCATGCGCTTGTGTTCACAGCTTGAAGTGGGGTCGGGTTAAAAGTTACAGATTATTTTTAAAACGAATATAAATGGTAAAGCAGGTAGATTTTATGTTTGGAGAAATTGAGGCTTTGAAGATACTCTTACAAGAAATGTTGACGCTGACATTGTTAAACAAGCTCAATTTTTTCTGCATTCTTTTAACATATAAGGTAATTATTAAAGCATCAATCATCTAATTATTAGTATTTCATCAAAACATAATAACACAATTAAAAAATAATTTGAGAATACGTATATATTACACACTTGTCGTCGATCACAGGTGTAAGAGCAACAACTAATTACTTGACTGGTTGATTATTTGGAAAAGTGGCAGAAGGTCGATTTTTCCGATGAATCATCTGTTGAACTGCATCCCAATCATCACAAACACTGCAGAGGACCTATTGGAACCCGCATAGACCCAAGAGTCTCACAGTAATCAGTCAAGATGGTGAAGGAAAAATCATGGTTTGGGGTTACATTCAGTATGGGAGCGTGCGAGAGATCTGCAGGGTGAATGGCAACATCAACAGCCTGAGGTATCGGGACGTTGTGCTGCTCTTTACATTGCGAACCACAGGAGAGGGCAAATTCTCCAGCATGATAGCGCTTCTTCTCATACTTCAGCCTCCACATCAAAGTTCCTGAAAGAAAAGAAGATCATGGTGCTACTGGAATGGCCAGCCCAGTCAGCATAAATGAACATTATTGAGCATTTCTAGGGTAAAATAAAGGAGGAGTCATTGAAAATGAATTCAAAGAATCTCGATGAACTCTGGGAGTCCTGCAAGAACGCTTTCTTTGTCATTTCAGATGACTTTATTAAGTTATTTTGAGTCATTGCAGAGATGTATGGATGCAGTTCTCCATGCTCATGGGAGTCATACACCATATTAATTCTTTTTTCCACTGCACCATGACTTTATATTCTATACTGTAAATTATTTCTGTTTAGTCACAAGATTTTGTCAGACCTTACTGTTTGAATTAAATAATTAAAAATCAAGGCATGATCATTTTTTTTATTTTAGTAAAATATGTGTAATCTAGAAGCCTTTGCCTTTCATATAAGCCACTATTGATGCCAAATGATCAGCTAGATGTCAAGTTATTATTTGTTGTTCATAAAACTTGGATAGGCGATAAGAGCTAAAAATGTGCATCCCTGTTTTTAATGCTTGATTTGTGTGCGTGCGTGCGTGTGTGCGCGTGTGTGTGTATGTAGTGAATTAATGCTATGTACAATTTCTGGTGTTCATATGGCTTTTTTTATCTTCTTTATTTCATTGTCTAGGGATCTAATAAAGAAGTTTCTCGTGACTGACCGGGAAAGAAGGCTTGGAAACATGAAGGTATGCAAGGTGTTGGTGACCAATATTTTATGTTGTGCTTAAACGTTTGAGCAAAGAATTTTCACAGAAATCCGCATTTTGCATAATTCTTTTTCAAACACTATATCGTCTCACATTCAAGGCCACGTTGTTAAATTATTTCTAGATGTTTCTAGGTCAGTTTTGCATAATATAAATGAAGAAATCTTTTAACAAAGCTGAACATCGGTGCACATAACAAATAATAAGACTTAGATTGAGTCCTGTGAGATATATATTTTTTTTTTCCCCAAAACGGGCCACATATGTTTCCAGTAATAAAGAGGCAGTCTAGAGGGAATGAGATGAGGCTCTGGAGAAAATCCCTGGATGCTCAGAAAGTGATTCTGACACCAGGCTTCTCTCCCACAATACCTCCCTTTCCAGCCCCCATCAGATTCAGATGGAGATGGATGTTGGGGAAACAACTGCAGATACAGTCTTGGTGCTAATGTTCTTCTTCTCCAGCTTTAGTCATTCAAACAGTTGCGGTTTAATGGCAGTTACATTTCTAAATTGTCCTTTTAGAGGAAATAATTCAATAACTGGCGCCAGATGAGGTGGCAGAAGTGCGCCAGTGCTGTCATGCATAATGTGATGCATATTATGAAGGTGATGTCATGGGAAGTTTGTAAATGGTTGCGCCTGAGTGTTATTTTCCCATTAGCTAGAGTTTATGCTGTTATAATTTTCCACACGTGATGAATGAGCTCTGCTGAAATTTACATCTCACTGTTTGTTTAGGGCTCTTTCAGTTTAATAAATTGAAGTTATGCCTTCTAAAATCTTTTAATCTTCACTCACTCAAAATGCAGCCTTCGAGCACTTGGAAATGTGAAGTTTTTACCCAAAGCACACTGTTTATGCAAGAAAACTGCAATATACAGTGCACCCGGAAAGTATTTATAGCGCTTCACTTTTGCACAATTTTTTTTTTTTAAGTTACAGCCTTATGCCAAAATGGATTAAATTAATGTATTTTCTCAAAATTCTACACACAATACCCCATAATGACAATGTGAAAAAAAGATTATTAAAAATAAAAAAACCTGAATAATCACATGTACATAAGTATCCACAGCCTTTGCCGTGAAGCTCTAAATTGAGCTCAGGTACATTCTGCTTCCACTGATCATTCTTGATGTTTCAGCAGCTTAATTGGAGTTCACCTGTGGTAAATTCAGTTGATTGTACATGATTTGAAAGGGCATACAGTACACGTCTATATAAGGTCCCAGGGTTGACTGCATGTCAAAGCACAAACCAAGCATGAAGACAAAGGAATTGTCCGTAGACTACCGAAACAGGATTGTCTCGAGACACTAGGCTGGGGAAGATTACAGAAAAATTCCTGCTGCTCTGAAAGTTCCAATGAGCACAGTGGTCTCCATCATCCGTAAGTGAAAGATTGAAACCAACAGGACTCTTCCTAGAGCTGGCCGGCTATCTGAGTGACCGGGGGAGAAGGACCTTAGTCAGGGAGGTGATCAATAACTCGATGGTCACTCTGTCTTAGCTCAAACATTCTTCAGTGGAGAGAGGAGAACCTTACAGAAGGACAACCATCTGTGCAGCAATCCACCAATCGGGCCTGGTTTAGTGGCCAGACAGAAGCCATTCCCCCCCTGGAGTTTGCCAAAAAGCATCTGAAAGACTCTCAGACCATAAGAACCAAAATTCTCTGGTCTGATAAGACTAAAATTGAACTCTTTGGAGTGAATGCCAGACACCACTCATCACTAGGCTAATACCATCCCTACAGTGAAGCATGGTGGTGGCAGCATCATGCTGTGGAGTTGATTTTCAGCAGCAGGAACTGGAAGACTAGTCAGGATAGAGGGAAAGATGAATGCAACAATGTACAGAGGTATCTTGAATGAAAATCTGCTTTAGAGTGCTCATGATCTCAAACTGGGGCAATATTTCATCTTCCAGCAGGACAATGATCCAAAGCACACCACCAAAATATCAATGGGGTGGCTTCACAACTCGGTAAATGTCCTTGAGTGGCCCAGCCAGAGCCCAGACCTAAATTATATTGAACATCTCCGTAGAGACCTGAAAATGGCTGTGCACTGTCACTTCCCATCCAATCTGCTAGAGATTGAGAGGTACTGCAAAGAGGAATGGGAAAAAATTCCCAAATGGGAATTCCCAAAACGATTCCTAATGGGCAAAAATTCCCACATATATATATATATATGTGTGTGTGTGTGTGTATCCTAAATGATGTTTAACAGAGCAAGGAAATTTTCAGTTTGTCTGATAATATTTTTCTGTTGGAGAAAGTCTTATTTGTTTTATTTTGACTAGAATAAAAGCTATTTTTTTATTTTTTAAACACCCATTTAAGAAAATTTTATTTGCCTCTTTAAGCTATATTTTTTCTCGTTAATCTACAGAACAAACCATCGCTATACAATAGCTTGCCTAATTACCCTAACCTGCCTAGTTAACCTAATTAACCTAGTTAAGCCTTTAAATGTCACTTTAAGCTGTATAGAAGTGTCTTGAAAAATATTTAGTCAAATATTATTTACTGTCATCATGGCAAAGAAAAAAAATCAGTTATTAGAAATGAGTTATTGAAACTATTATGTTTAGAAATGTGTTGAAAAAAAAACGGGGAAAACATAAACAAGTGATTTAATAATTCAGGGAGGTTAATAATTCAGACTTTACTGTATATTTAAATGTATTTTTTTTTAAAATTATTTGTTCTTTTTCACTAATTTTAAATCTCTGACTTCTAAAAGTGCTCTAGCAACACATCCTAGAGGCCATGATCTTTAGCCTCTTTGTAAGAACAACCATCTCCCATGCAAAGAATCCCGGTAAGATAACAGATCAGACCGGGTTGGGTGCAGTAGAACCCGTTTTTTGACAAAACTCGAAGACGTTTTGGAGGAAAAATGTCATTTGGGTGGACTTTGCAGACTGGATGCTTCTGTTGTTAATTTAGCACTTCTTTCTTTTCTTCTCTTTTATCCTCTGACTGCAGACAATGAGAGTTTAAGAGCCGGCAGGCCAATCACAGCTGTGTTTGCACTGTTTCCACAGCAAGGCCAGGTCCTGCTGGCAGAGCTCATTCACAAGTGCACATATCTGTTATTCTACTTCAGTCCGTGTGTCTCTTTTTAATCCCACAGTGTGTCTCTCTTATAGTCCCACAGTGCAATACGTGGCCCAAATTCTAAAGTTTATAGAAGAAGACTGCAGTTAGCATTGTTTGACCCACTTTCTGTTCCTTTCGAAGAAACTGACAGTACAGAAAAATACAGTAGAGTTGCATAGTCAAATAAAGTGCATAATGCTAAATGCTTTGATTAGATCTATTCTTTGAAGAAGACTGTAATGTGGTTTAAACTGTTGAGGTTTGTTTCAAAATGTAAGACATTAATCTGCTTTTATGTTCATTCAGTCATAGCAATCAATCCCATTACTGCATAATGTTTTTTGTCTTCCAGAATGGAGCCGATGATGTGAAAAAGCACAGATGGTTTAAGTCAGTAAACTGGGAGTCTGTACCCTGTAGAAAGCTGAAGGTGAGCACAACAGCTCTCTCATATAGACATTTACAAAATATTATTTGCCACATTGGATTGATGCTTTCTTACATTTTATTTACTGATCCTGTTTTCACTCTCTATCCAAAACATCTCTAAAGGTTTACTAATGTCTTTAGTAGCTGCAAACCTAAATTATTCACTACAGATCAAAAACAGTTCTGTCAGTCATGTGAACTGTGATGTATTTATTTCTTTAAAAAAATACCGTACATTAAAAGCACAATATATAGTTATCTATGCTTTTTTTAAATGACTCCTACAGAATACATATCATTCAGTGTAACAACAGCTTATAAATCCTTTTTGTGGGCATATTTTGAGTGGACTTGAATAAGAGCATATGAGAATAATTGTTTGATGATATAATAAAAGACTTAAAGTGAGGGTTACAGTGCAGCCAACAACGATTAATTGTTATTAATATTCAAATAATTAATTGTAATTTTAAGTTCAAACCATCAGGTTTGACCTATTTTACATCAATAAATGTTTTATTGTTTAAATTATAATATTTAATTTAGTTTTTAGTGTAGTTTAGTATTTAGCATGATCACATATTGTCAGAAATAAATCCATTAAGCTGAAAGACAATGGGCTATTTATCCCATGTTTTATTTTCACAAACCATAATTGCATTTAATAAATATATAATTTATATAATTTTTTTTATTATATTTTGATTATAATATATATATATATATATATATATATATATATATATATATATATATATATATATATATATATATATATATATATATATTAAACGCAGTCACAAAATGGAATTTTGCGAATCGTATTATAATATTTTAAAATAATCATTTTAATCATTCATTAATCATTTTAAATAATACTGTTTAAAATATTCTAAAATGTAATTTATTCATCAGATGGCAAAACAGACAGTATTCTGTTCCCTAGTGACGCATAATATTTCATTGATCATTGTATTTAATGCCCATGAAAGTTTTCTTATTATGATTAGTGATGAAAATTAGATTAGATTAGATTAGATTAGATTAGATTAGATTAGATTAGATTCAACTTTATTGTCATTACACATGTACAAGTACAATGCAACGAAATGCAGTTTAGGTCTAATCGGCAGTGCAATAGCAGCAAGTGTAGGATACAGGTATAAGTTATAAAGTGCAGTTATTGAAAAACTATGGTGAGAGAGTCAGTGAGGGGCAGAGTTCAAGAGGGAGATAGCTCTGGGGAAAAAGCTGTTCCTCAGCAGCCAAATATATATCAAGGAGGCAAATCATTGGTATACATATATTTGTGGAAACTGAAATATTGTGATAAAAAGATATAAAAGTGTTTTTTTATTCATTTTCTTTTTGGCTTAGTCCCTTTATTTATCTGGGTTCACCATAGTGGAATGAACCGCTAACTTATCCAGCATATGTTTTACGCAGCGGATGCCCTTTCGGCTGCAACTCATCACTGAGAAACACCCATACACACATTCTTACTCGCACACACACGCACACACATATACTACGGACAATTTTAGCTTACCCAATTCACCTATACTGCAAGTCTTTGGACTTGTGGGTGAAACCGGAGCACCCAGAGGAAACCCACGTGAGAAAACAGGGAGAATATGCAAACTTTACAAAGAAATACCAACTGACCCAGCTGAGGCTCGAACCAGCAACCTTCTTGCTGTGAGGCGACAGCACTACCTATTGCGCCATCGTGTTGACCTAAAAGTGTTTATTTAAATTTCAATAATTTGTAACATTATACATATCAACTCTGATTAGTTTAGTGCTTTATAATATTATTGGCTCTATTTTAACAATATAGGCACAAAGGCACAGAAAGCATTAAGAGCGTATCTGAATCCACTTTTGATTTTTTAAGGACGGAAAAATATAGTTGGTGCTGCGGCACATGGTCTATCAGGGTTTTGCTAATTCTCTTAATGAGTTATGGATGTGCTTTGAGAATAAACCAATCAGAGTTTCATCTCCCATTACCTTTAGGGATCAGTTGCGTCACGCCACGGCGCATTTACTATTTACATGGCAGACTTTGTAAGTGGAAAAACAGTTAATCAGACCATCTGCAGCGTGAGGATAAAGAAAGAGCCTCCTCTATTCTGCCTTTTTACTTTCTCTTTCTCTTTACTTTTACTCTTTACTCCTATAATTCGTGGATAATGAAATGGTGTTATACGCACTCCACTGAAGACATTTATTAGTCTACATATTTAGTTTTGTTTGTTATTCGCAAAACTCATTTCAAAACTATTTTTAAATTTAGTTCAAATTCCCAGCAAACGAGTGTAAATGAACAATAATAACACAGTGTGGTCAAAAAACAAGTTACAGTATATCCAAAGACACTTCCTATTGCCCCATGTGGTTCAAAACATGACAGTTTGACAAATCAAAGCTTGTTTTTAATAAAGCAAATATAAATATGCACATAATAAATAATAATTTGAATAATAAAAAGAATAGCTTTATACAAAAGCAAGCTGTCATGAATAAACTGAAAAAAGCACACCCATGAGTCCACAAAGTAGTGTAAATGAATTTGCTATTTAAACAACGTGGTACAAAACGGTAAAATTAGTGTTGTACTAGTATAAAAATAGCATTATTATTGCCTTATTGCCTCAGGTGTATGATAGGGCCCTATAAATCTCTTCTAATCTGCACTTACCTCAAACCACTGAACTGTAGTGTATATTTAACTGCATATGAATGTTTCTTGAACAATTTTCTCCTGGTTGTTCGACAGCCACCCATAGTTCCAAAGGTGTCCCACGAGGGAGACACATCCAACTTTGACTCCTATCCAGATGAGGAGTGGAAGAAGGACACACCGGTACCAGCGAAAGATCTGGAAATTTTTAAGAACTTCTAAAAGGAAAGTCATTTTCAATGCCTAAAAAGACAGGACTGTTAAAAGACAAAGGCTCAGAGCTGACATTTAAAGCATTCAGGGGACATTTAATGGTTCTAGTTGCATTATTATATGCATGTTCTTCCTGTCGGTCCCTGAGTTCTGCACACTTGAGAAACCAACAGACTTCTTGTGATCACTATTATCATAATTATCATCATAAAAGAAAATGAGGAAACTGTCTATCACTTCAGCATTATTCAGCACAGCCTGGGTCTCTTTATATTATGCAAATCTAAAGTTTTTAAACATCATTTTATATTAGTAATATCAAAGGTTCCTTTTGCTGGATCAAGATGAGGTCTTCACTTAGACCTGAACATGTATGGTCTTTTTGTTGTTGTTGTTGTGATCTAGATAACTTTATAATTGGAAAAGCTTGCTCTATCAGAGCTTTAAGCTTGGGAAATATTATTTTCTGATCATCTGAACTCGCAGTGTTGATGTTTTCATCCTACATGGTATATATATGACACTTGTGCCTGTTTCACACTGCACGCTTGATTAGACGCAACTCTGTGCTTTTTACACTGGCAGCACTACTGTTACTATTATTAGTGTTTTATTTAATAACAGCCATGCCTTTTTTTACAATTATCAAAGTAAAATATTTCAGATTGAGGTGGGACATATTCAAATATCTACAACAGATGCAAAATAACAAATAAACTGCAAGTCTGTAAATCATCTACTTTAACTTTTTTTTATTTTCATAATAGGTGAATAGTTCATTCTAGGGCTGCACAATATATTGTTTCCTAATCAATAATGTAACGTGTAAATCTGTTATATATAGTTACAGTGCATGTCCATTTACATTTATAATTAAGCGCAAAGCACAGTTCATAACACATGTGATTTGTGAAGTTTAACGCTTAAAGAGTAAGATCTGCATTTGGACGTGTTTTGAATTTTTGGAGCACACGTTGTTTGAGTTCACGTTTGTAACTTGTAAAGTATTCATACAAGTGCTATTTTTGATTAATCAATTTATGTGAATACTTTTTCAACAGAAAAGTTTTAAAACTTTACCTAAAGCATAAAGCTGTATTTCGTTTTTATTGTTGTTGTTTTGTATTGGTCTGCGCTTGTAATTAGTTTATTTTGGTTTATACAGATGCACTCCAATGTGAAATCATCCCAGTCAGAATAAAATTTGAAATTATTTCATAATAGAGTTATTTACGTCATCTTGTGAAATTATATATAATTATATATATCGCAATATACATATTTAAGAGTTCCCACTTAGATATGCTTAGCGTTAATAGCAGGTTTGGCATGCTGGGAAAGCACTCTGAGCTCATAATACTTAAGCTTTAAGGCACCCTACTGGTCATTAAGCATTTAGGGGATCCGAGATCAGTTAGGTCTCGATATCTCCTCCTCAGAAAAAAAAGAGAAAAAGGAGGAGATGGGGTGGAAGGTGGGATTCTTCCAAAATGAAGATGAAGCAGTAGGAAAAAAATGATCCATTTGTTGTAAACTTTGATCACTCTGATTGGATTATTACTGAAAACAGATGAACAGCCAGTCGTGCTCAATCATATCACATACTCCTCTCAAAATTAGTTTATGAAACTTCACTCATACATTACATAACAAAATAACATTTTTGTTTGATTGTTTTTGTCCCCAATATCATGCAGCCCTAGATCACTCCAGTTTTGTGTGTAATCTGAGCCCATTTCTGTCACATAAAAAAAAAGAAAAGAAAACAGTTATGGAATTTTTTTTTTTTTTTTTTGTCAGGTTTTAATTTATTTAATTATTTTTGGTCATAATTGAGATAAATCTTAACAATTGGATTGTGACATTCATATAATTTCAGGAATTTAATAAAGTAAATATTGGAATATAATTTAATCTATTCTTTTTATAGTCTTTTTATGTGGCACTTTAAGGAATTTCATGGATGTGGGCACCATAATAAATGTGTGCAGTGTGAAACAGGCTAGTACACACAGAATGTTTTTGTGTGTTGTGCTTTGCTGCTTTTTTATTGATTTTCTATGTAAACATGGTGTCTTTGACAGCTCTGCTGTGCCTCGTTTCTTTCTTTTTTTCTTGAACACCTCATTTTTTAAGACACGGTCAACATTTTTAAAAAGGTGTTTCATGACACTGCCTTATTTTCATTCATCGACTTTACTTCAATTATACCATTGTGGCGTTTTGCATTTAGACCACAAAACCATGTTCTGTGTGAAAAGTCCCAAGATTCCAAAGAGCTTTTCAACACATTCCTGCCAGGAAGTCAGAATAAGAATACCAGGGAAAGTAGAGGTACAGTAGCACTTACCTAATCAAACTTGACCTCACAATCCTGTAGGTAACTCATAAATCAGCATTAACGCTTGTATTATCACATACTCATTGTTGGTCGTGCTTTACACCGTGCTTTATGTGTTCACTAATTGGTTAAGTGCTTAAGACTTAAAGAAAAAAATGCTAGCCAGGTGTTTTCTAAAGTTGCCTTTCGTTGATATGGGGGTGAATTTAGCAAACACAGTTTACATTGCTTTGTACTGCTACTTCTTAATACATGTTTGCCCGATCGAAAGCCTTGCGTAATGGGAAGAGAACTGACTATGGTGTGAAATGCTTTAGAAATGTACTGTAGCTACTGAGTGTATGTTCGAAACAATTCCTGTTTCTTTCTTCTGTTTTTGTGTTAACTGTGCTGTCTTCTTAAGCAGTGATCTATCATCGTATTGTCTACTGAAAGTCATTTCTTGAAATGGCTATTCTTTTCAAAATTGCGGATGCAAATTTATACTAATGAAAGCGATTTGCAGATTTCATATGGACAGCTGTTACCATCGTGTGGGTTTAGTCTTTTTTTACGTTACTGTTTTTGTTGTTGAACCCTGTGTGAAAAAAAAAATGTTGTGCTGTATTCTTAATTTTACTGTGTTCTTTTTTTACAATTGTTTGAAAGAAAAGATTGTATTTTATATTGTTTACAACAGCAAAAAAGAGAGTTCTATGAACTTAAAAAAATTGACACAAACCCCAGCATAGGATTTTATACTTTTATTTTTTTCTTATTCAGTAGTTTCCTTTTATTGCCTTCTGAACATTGATGGTGCATTTGAGATGGTACAAAGTGCAATGTTACCTGCAACTAAGCTGTTACGAAAACTTGAGAAAAGTCTGCAATATTCTATATCCATGAAAATAAAACAAACTTTTCATGTGGACTAAGAGATGCTGCTTATTTATTGTTACAACTTTTTCAAACTCTCACCAGGCTTTTTATTCTTTTGAGATGGGTTATCAGCACATTTGATTGTATTAAAATGTTAAGTGTGAACGCTGCCATCCAAGCCTTTTTGTGACAAACAAGCAGAAAGCCCTCTCAACAGATAATAGCATCAATTCAGCTGAAGTATGAGTACATGTACCAGGCAGACAACTAAACAAACCAAAATAGAGACATTATGTCACAAGACATCCTTAAGTCAATTACATCAATTGGTTTATTAAGGTAAAAATCTTGGTTCATTTTTTTTTTTTAAGTAGAATTTATATCTTAAAATAAATTGTGACTTAATTTTGTAAAAACATGTATCATATGTGGGAGAATCAATGACGTAGAGGTGTATAACTGCCTAATGCATTTGAGGAGAATCCTGCAACTATCACTCAGCAGTTGTTATGGTTACTACTAATGTTTGTGAGAAGTGTATTTATTTCAAACTGTGATCAAAACTGACTGGAACCAAAGTCCCTTTAAAGCAAGTCATTTCACTTGGCGGCCATCTTTGAAACGCCTCTCGGGCAGTATACTCAGTCATTTTGAACGGTTAAATTTTAAATTCTCCAAAACTGTTTACCAAGCTTACGATTACATTACATATTTGCAACCACCAATAAAATTAAACAGCATTCATCATTTCTAAACGTTCGAATCAAACAAAATCAGCTTTGTTTCAGGTTGCCCAAGCTATGCGCACTTGAAATAAACAAGATCACGACACCAACCACATTTATAGACGTTTTACACACCATCCTCTGGAATAATGCTTTGCCAGATCTCGCCGATCTTCTGAATTCACAACTTTGTACTGATGACAAATCTCCTGCAGAAATGACAGCGACTCTTTGTTTACAAGTTTGTGGGCGTTTGAGTATTTGTTGTCATGTGATGTGCGTTTGACAGGATGGACTGTACATCGCGTTTGTTTCATACAGATTACAAACCCAAAAAAAAACTTTGATTTCAGGCTTTATGTTGATATATTTCTTATGTCTATGACGAAAGTATTCTCTAAGAATAGTGCTCCTGTACTATTAGGCAGGGCTTCATTCACCATATTTACTGTTTCACTTTTCCCCATTCAAAACTATATGAGTAACATGTCTTGTGTATGCTACAGTCTTTTCTGGAACTAACTGTTCATTTCAAAGGATTTAATGCTCACCCTCCAGCCAATCAAAATCAAGAATTTCAAGTTTGTGTTGAAATTTCAAATGTTGTGTGTGTGTGGATTCACAAATGATACATTTACACCCACATTTATAATGTAATATAAACTTTTGTATTTGATAAGTCACGATTAATCATTAAGCTAGCACTAGAGTTAAGTTCAGGCATCAAAAATGGTGTCATCTTGCAGCAGGTCTTCATGACTGTGAGGGAAAGATCTAACTTTTTTTTTTTTTTTTTTTAATGGTCCGTTTATTGAATTTAAGTTACATTGTATCTACATGTCAACTAATTCTCATTAGATTATAAGCAGACTGTTAGGTTGGGGTTAGGGTTGTTGTAAATTGACATCTACTTGCAAAGTTTCTTATAGTCAGTTAAATGTCTGTTGAAGAAGCAGTATCAACAGATTTTAAGCAGACAGTCTACTAATGCTCAAATGAACCATCCCAATAAAGTGTTACCATTGTTTTCCTAATTCCGGAAATACTAGAATTCTATAATTATTAGTATTGAATTATTAAAACTTTATTTATTCAGAAATGGCTGCCTTGGTAGTGTAAAAATCACCATTACACACATATACACACATACATCAATCACATTTAGCATTATTTAAACTTGTGTTCTTTAAAATGTTAACTTTCAGACTTAAATAACTGAAAAATATATACAATTTCAATCCAAACTGACAATGTCTGTTTTAGTTTGTGGCCAAAACCACCAAAAATAACGACTAGTGTGAACACACTTTCAGTCTGATGACACCAAGCCATATACTCATTCCTCAGAAACCTTTAAAACTACCAAACATGCATAATGGAAATGATTAAACCTTTTATTGTGATATAATGTTCCTATATACCCACAGTTAAGTGTTTCAATTTGATATGCTCCTATTTCCCTCAGCTAGTCCCTTTATAGTTTATTTTGCTTAAGTATTAACATTAAAAGTACATAAGCAGTTAACAGAACGAATTAGCATCACTCCTTCCCAGCAAAAGCAGATGAATGATCTCATCCATTGAGACTATTGCATTTTTAAGAGGTTATTTCACTCTCTTGCCCCTGTGGTTTGACTTCAGCCGTAGTCAAATGTTCAAACATAACTTTCTTTCTTCGCTCTGCTCCTTGTAAAATCTGACTACAGTTTAAACATTTTAATGACGTTTAGTCCCGTCAGACACACCGCTGGGACAGACTAATTGAACTTAATAGTTCCCTTACGGTCCTCTAAATGGCTGCACGATGGATCTGTCCCCAACCTGGTGTAGGAAATTCTTTTAATGTATGGTATAGTATTTGTGTTCACCTCCGCACTTTGGCGGTTCTGCATAATATATTTCCACGTGACAGGAAAGCATAAAAACGCTTTAGTTTTAAGACGTAAATGACATTTCCATTTAAAGAGATAGTTCACCCAAAACTTCAAATCCAGTCATCAGCTACATTATGTTTCCATCCACCCATTTTTATGCACATTTTAGAATATTTCAAATAAATTATAATACAGACAACTGAGTAGGATAAACTTTTTTTTTTTTCGATAAGAAAAAAGTGCATAAACTATTATGAAAATAATAATAAATATGGTTGCAAGCAGCAATTATTGGGGCCAAGCAGCCGAGCGGCCACATCGTAAACGAGCTCGACAACAAGCTACAGAGCAACTGGAAAATTATGACTTTTTGGCAGAATGGTCTAAGCCAAATTTAGTAGAAATTGGACTAACAATCTATGGTGAGTTCAAAATAACAGATTTTCAAACTAATGAAAATGGTGAACAGGAAGTCGTGTCGATTAGGGAGTAAATTATATCAATGTTCTCTGGAGCTGAGTCCCAAATGGCACACCATACACTATGCAGTCATGCACTATGTACTTTTGGACTTACACACTCAACTGCATAGTATATGTATGTAGTGTCGTCCCAAATGCAACACTAATGTTTTTTCACTAAGCGAAAATTTAACCCGTTTCCCTGATGATGTTTGGCGGTTGCCAAATTAGTGAAATAAATTAACAAAGTACCAAATAATACCTGCTGCGAGTATTACCGCATTCACCATCGGGCGGCGCTATAATCTCTCGTAGGAGAATTTCGCTTTCACATTGCAAAAAAAATAAAGAAAAAAAAAAACATTTGCACCTGATAGTTCCGTCCCTTTCGCTACGTGAACAAAGCAGTGGTCGTTGAGTGCGTGAAGTGTCCATCATTACACACTTACTTATACCGGTCGAATGAGTGCATCATCCGGGTTATTAATGTGCACTAACTGTTTTAAGAGTTTTCAACGCACTACTTACACTATTTATACTACAAAATGGCATAGAATAGTGCATAAGTTTGCGATTTGGGATGCAGCTTGTATAATACAAGGAATCTGCAAAACCAGTCTCATAACACTAGACAAAACTATTCAAAAGTCATTTGAGAAATTTCAGATTATTTCTATTGATAGAATTTATTTATTCATTCATTTATTTTCTTTTCGGCTTAGTCCCTTTATTAATCTGGGGTCGCCACAGCAGATTGAACCGCCAACTTATCCAGCATGTTTTTACCTCGCGGGTGCTCTCCCAGCCGCAACAAATTACTGGGAAACATCCATTCACACTCATTCACACACATACACTACGGACAATTTAGCTTACCCATTTCACCTGTACCACATGTCTTTGGACTGTGGGGGAAACCGGAGCACCCGGAGGAAACCCATGCGAACACAGGTGCATACTCCACACAGAAATGCCTACTAAACCAAACATCATTCAACTTGCCATGCTCTGTCGGATGTAAAAAGACCAATTTTATAAGTTTTGAACAAAGGGTTGAGACGTAATAAGCAAAAAAAAAAAAAAAAAACTTTTTGTATCATCAGACCACTAGGAGGCAGTGCGCCAAAACGCTGCAGCTAACTTCAGACCATGGTTGTGATAACACACACCAAGTTTGGTGTACATCAATACGTCAATGCATTATGGAAAAACACCTTAAGTCAATTTTCACAAGCTCTACGTAAAATTTGTTTGCAAGTTAATCGAAAATGGTTTGTCTAATCAACTTGATTTTCATAACTTTTGGTCAGTTTAGAACGAGTTTGTTTAAATAGGATTTACAAAAAATTCTAAATAGCGAAAACATTTTCATGATGGAAAATGTCGTCATAGGGTGCATTTAAATCGACTTGAGCCAAGGAATTAGCCCATTCAGTTATAAAGTTATAAAGATAAACATAAGTGAAATTTTGGACAAGTGGTGGTATATATGTGATCATGCGCATGGTGAGACACAAGCGATCCTGACGTACTGATGGGGGCTTCAATTTTGCGTGCATAGCTGATGTGTTTAAAAGTTTCAAAAAGAAACGGTTCCTTGCGCAAAGTATCCGTGCCTGAAAACAGAACTGGTGTGATTGGTTCTGTTTGAAATAGCCTGGACCAAAAAATAAAAAATACAGACGCTCGTGCTCGTCCTGCTGCTCTCAAAAGTTTGAAATTCTTTTACATTTTTTTTTTTTTTGCAAGTTGCAGCGGTTAGTTTGTATATATATATGTATATATATATATATATATATATATATATATATATATATATATATATAAAGTCAGTGGATTTCATTTTTCTTCAAAATATCTTCTTTAGTGTTCAACTGAAGAAAAAAGTCCTCAGTGTATGTTTGGTTTGCTCAAATCCAACCCAATTTGGAGACGTCGCCTGTTGAAAGATGTTCTGCGATGTGAAAACTTGCAGCTGCTGTTTTAATTCTT